AGTASTASTAGWMKASTAGTAATACTCCAGTAGTTATAGTTCTTTGTGAATCTGCAGCTACTCACAATAAGCTATCAAACAAGAAGAAGAAGCTTCTTGTTGTTGTTCTTGATGTTTGCTAGAAAGAGGAGCAACAGGAGGAGCTCAATTTTGGTAGGCTTGTCCTGATTGATAAGAAAATACAATATTGTTGTAGCCTCAAATAAAACACACCACCAACAACAAAAAGAACTTTCTTGTCCTCCTCATAGTAGTACCTCCTCTTTGTGGAGCTACTAGTACTAGTAGCACTACTGTACAGTTGCAGAAAAGTGCCATTCATTTTTTTTGTACTAGTAGTAGTACTTCAGCATGCAAGAAGCACAGCAATCCAATRTGGTGAAACTTTTCATGGCGCATTCATGCTGGTGGTCCTCTCCACAATGACGTTGGTCTTACTACTACTACGACTACTACTAGTAATGGCAACAGTACCATATTTAGCTTACACGACAACAACTCATAAATAAGAAGAAGTTATCAGTAAGAACTACCAGTAATACTACTTTTAATTTTTAGTAGTAATTTTTTCTCACAACCACATTTTTCTTGCTCCTCTGATKTTCTGAAATTTCCTGTATCCAAACTTGGACAGACGGAACCTACTAAGGCAGGAATCATTAATTAAGAGGGGTTTGCAACACATGTATTTTTCAGCATCAGGACAACCAAAAATCCTATTYCATCCATGGCAGGAATGGTAAGAAAATTTTAACCACAGAGATTTCTTTTTTCATTTTATTTTTACTGCACATCACTGCAAAAAGTGTACCTGGAAGACCCCATGCAAAGGAACACTTCCAATGACTCTCTAACTTTCAAACTTAACATGCACATCTCTCACATATTCAAGAGTCAACAAGTAGTAAGTATATTTTCACTGTTATTGCTCTCTGTAGTTCAAACTTTACTAAGGTCGTGCTGACACAGGGCTGGTGGTAGTACTAGCTAACATACTAGTACTAGTAGTTCATAGTAGTACCAGTACTATATTTGCAGTAGAAATAGTCTGTCCTTTGTCAAGTCAGTCATACCAGTCAAGTCCTTAGCAAAAATTTGAACTGTCTGTCCTTCATCTATTTCTCCCACTAATTCCCCAGCAGCAGTACTAGTACTACTAGTAATTTCTCATCCTACTACTAGTAGCACTAGTACTACAAATCTAGTCAATAGTATTCAACAGTGAAAAGGTACACTATCATTCAATTTGATACTTATAGTATTGTCATCTTCAGAATCTTCATGAAAAATTGGGCTAGACAGTGTACTCAAAAATTCTAATGGTAGTATTTTTTAWAATGTTGTAACTGCTTAAAGGTTGGATAGTTTTACTAGTATTATGAAGTGAAAATGAAATAGAAAAAATTCAAAATTCCCTGGGGTTAAATTTTTTTATTCCTGCCACGGATGGAATATGAGTTTTCGATGCATTGCGCACCCCTCTAAATTTATGACCAATGACGTACGGTACCCGTACTGAAGCTATCTGTACGAAGTGCATCTTACTAACAAAATAATGAGCTTCTCGCCAAGCCGGTTGAACATGGTTTGGTACTTCAATTTACGTGCGTCCTTCGTAAGCCTTGAAATTGTGAGGAAAGATTGTTTCTTTTTCTTTTTTGTCGACCGAAGCGTAAAGCTCCCAAATAATAGTTGCAGAGGGCTAGCTCCCACCAATTGCGCGCGCAGGTTCATAGGGGTAGATATTACTTAAGAATCTGTGCACCAAAGTGTGTCCAACGGTCATCTCTCAAGTCGTAGCTTTCCGTACGGGACCGTATTATGTATAAGTACTGGTAGTTACGTACGTACGACTATTCTTATTCTCAATTTTCGTGAGGAGGCTCGTACCATACTCGTACTTGAACGAAGTAGCAGAAGAACGAGTACTACAGTACGTAAACGTCGAAAAAACTGGAAAAATTATCTTTCGAGAAACCTTTTTTGAGGTCATTCATATGCGTACTCGTACTCGTACTCACAAGTAGAGTATGGTACTCGTAGTCGTACCAAAACTCTAGTCCAAGCGTTTTTGGAGAGTCTTTTTGCTTTCAACAACTTCCAAATTCACAATTTGCTCTCTGCGACAATCCACATAAACAGTCATACATACAAATAGTTGAACAAAATAAGATGGCCGACGCTGAAGATTATACGCCGAAGAATATTTTTCTAACTGGTGGAGCAGGTACGGGCAACAAATCAATCTTGGCATTGGCTATCGTTGACTTCTTTTATGCTATGATCGACAAGCGGCGATGACCGCTCAACGAATTCTTTCTCTTTGCTGTGATGTGATTATGAATTGCACACCTAATTGATTCTTTTTGGTTACAGGATTCATCGCTTCCCATGTTGCTATCCTGCTGTGCAAGAAGTACCCTCAGTACAATATTATCGTGTACGACCGTTTGGATTACTGCAGTTGCTTGGAAAATCTCGACGAGATCAAAGACCTCCCGAACTTCAAGTTTATCAAGGGTGATATCGCAACCGCCAATCTTGTGAACTATGCGTTCCTCGAGGAGAAAATCGACACCGTCATGCACTTTGCAGCGCAAACCCACGTCGACAACTCGTTCGGTAACTCGATGGCCTTCACTCAATCTAACATCTTCGGAACTCACGTCCTTCTCGAGTGCGCTAAGAATTGCCCCACCATCAAGAGGTTTGTTCACGTATCGACCGATGAGGTCTACGGAGAAGGAGAGGACTTCGAAACAGATCCCATGACCGAAGAGCACATTCTTGAACCTACGAACCCCTATGCCGCCACGAAGGCAGGTGCGGAGTTTTTGGTCAAGTCGTATTTCCGCAGTTTCAAGTTGCCGTGTTTGATCACCCGTGGTAACAATGTCTACGGACCTCACCAATTCCCCGAGAAGTTAATCCCCAAATTCACCAACCAATTGATGAGAGGCAAGAAGCTTACTCTGCACGGAGATGGTTCCAACACTCGTAACTTCTTGTACGTCACAGATGTGGCTAACGCATTCGACACTATTCTGCACAAGGGAACTCCTGGTCATGTCTACAACATTGGTGGAGACAACGAAATTTCCAACCTCATGGTTGCCAAGACACTGCTCAAGATTTTCGGCTTGGAAAACGAAGAAGAAAAGTGGATCAATTACGTCCCCGACCGCACCTTTAATGATTTGCGGTATACCATCAATTCTTCCAAGCTGCACCAACTAGGCTGGAAGGAACTAATGTCATGGGAAGAGGGTCTGAAGACCACTGTCGAGTGGTACAAGAAATACACCTGCCGATACGGAAACATCGAAAATGCTTTGGTTGCTCACCCCCGAATGCTCGATGGCAAACAACCCGAAGGAGTTGTGACGAGTGTTTAAGCAATAAAGAAAGACGCAATAGAAATGAATCTCTACACTACATATGAAWAACTCGAGCTTAAACTTGTCTCCGTTTGTAACGATATGGTGTAGACGAGCCAGGGTTGTTTTTGGTGGAAAGAAAACCCAATACATGGTTGTCATATCGCTCTTGTCAGCTTGGATAAAGTCGAATCATCTTCTATTCGGATGGCGCAGTGCGTACAATGCCACGACAGGTCYTAGCACTCATCAGTAAAGCCGTACTAAACTCAAGAACTTTTATGTATCAATATAAATAAAATTCTATGMATTAAGAATTTGTTGAACATCTCCGTCGTACTGGTACCTGACGGAGCTGTCTMTCCAAATAAAGCGCCAAAAGATGGCCGCGAATGTTTTAGGGAAAGATCCATTACCAAAATGTTTATCAGAAATACCAGCGACCAGCGCACAGCGCATCTTTCGTTGACGAGTACGAGTACGTACATACCAATAGTATAGTAGTATGTTATTCCTTCAGCTCGGTAAAGAACAGGAAAATCCATCGAAGCGTGACCGACCATGGCTTTCTTATTTTCGCTTTACAGTGGTACTCGTACTCATACCGGCAGTATTAGAGCTGACAAGTAATCGTACGAGAGTTCAGTTGGCAATAGACAGTCAGAAGGCCCTGGAATATCGTATCCAACCTACCAACTCAACCCAAATCACCGCATTCCATCACCTTCGATTGCACTACCGTAGCAATATTACACGGTGAACACGGAGCAGCAGCAAACAGGTAACAAAACAATAACGAGTTGCCACTCGCCGAGATCCAAGCAAGACTCAGTCGAGTGTTGTGGTTGAAATCCAAGCAAGTCAGAGTCGCGTGCTGTTGTCGAAATCCAAGGACGACAGATATTGATTGTCAATGCTGAATTGAACTGAATTTCTCCCCGTTCAAATCCTTCGTTCCCACCGTTATTACCGGTTTGGGCAGGTGCTCCTGGTTCAGTCGATTGTAAATTTTTGATTTTTGATTTGCCCGTTTGTGGATCGATCGATTCTGATCGACCCTTTCGGTTCGCGTACACCATGCGTAATCCTTCATCCTCAGACGACGAGGCGGTGGGCCCTTTGTCGTCCACCGGCGGGGCAACAGGAGGCACAGCGTCAACTGCTGCCACCAGACGGGGAAGGCGACCGGCTGGAGGAACCCTCCGTCGCCGCCGAGGCGAAGTGGAAGTCGATTCGAGCGACGAGGACAGCRCCGGAAGCCAGGACCTCCGTGAAAACTTCGATCGTCGAAGAAACTCTGATTCGAGATCGAGTTTGAGCTCCAGTCTGAATACGACTTTGAATTCGAATTCTCAATCCTCGAGGCAGCGGGCACCGGCTTCAAGCGACAAAAATACTTCCGGGAACGCTGGAAACGCGGATGAGAGTCTCAGTGGTGACTACGGTTCCTCTCCATCCGGCTACAACGGAAGAGAACCATCTTCGGCAGCGCCGTCGCASTCGCAACGAGACGTCATTCTAGAGGACGCAGACTCGAACACGCTGCGGATCATGATCAGCACAGACAACCACGTGGGATACGCCGAAAACGACAACATTCGGGGGAACGATTCGTTCGCTGCTCTCGAAGAGGTCCTGTACCTCGCAAAAGAATACGGATGTGACATGGTGCTCTTGGCAGGGGATTTGTTCCATGAAAATCGTCCGAGTCGAAGGACACTGATCAAAACAAGTGAGTGGGWATCTAATTGATATMAAAAAATTGTTGCCCTTGGGCTGGCTCCRTTTCTTTGGTTCCAGAAACGAAACCTGTGGCGATTTTATTGCTTTCTCTTATTTTCGTTCTTTATTTCTCCGCAAAYATCTTTTTGGTTTCTCAATTGTGGACGAATCGCACATTTCCAGTGGATATATTTCGTCGGTACTGCATGGGCCCTGGAGCAATCCAGGTGCAGGTTGTTCCTGCGTCAAGAAAAGGAAGCAATGGCAACAGCAAGAGCAACGAGAACAAAAGTCCTTTCGTCCGAGGCTACGTCAACTACGAAGATGCCAATTATTCCGTCGATTTGCCTGTCTTTTCGATTCACGGGAATCATGACGATCCGAGCCGTGATGGCGGTAACTCGGAGTTGTATGCTGCACTCGATCTGTTGGATGTTGCRAACCTCGTCAATTATTTCGGCAAGCAGGAGGACACACAGAGGATTCGGATCGATCCCGTTCTGTTGCGAAAGGGAAACACTAAGGTCGCACTGTACGGACTAGGCAGCATGCGCGACGAACGACTCAACMGAATGTGGCGGGGGGAAAACCTGACCTTTACGCGCCCCGCGGAGAGCACCAGCGACGAGAACGTTCCGGCATGGTTCAACATTTTTGCYCTGCACCAAAACCGCGACCGCGGCCGGGGAGCCAAGAATTGCATCAAGGAAGACATGATCCCGGACTGGATGGACTTTGTCTGCTGGGGCCACGAGCACGAGTGCGACATCGAGCTCGAGGAATCCGTTGTCGGGACCTTTCGCATTAGCCAGCCGGGATCGAGTGTAGCGACGTCGCTCGTKGAAGGGGAATCCGTCCGCAAGAAAGTTGCGGTGTTTGATGTTCGTGAGGGGCAGTTCCGGTTGACGGCGATCCCGCTGACACAGGTCCGCTCCTTTGTGGTCTCGACAGTCCGGTTGGCGGAGGAGCGCCGGCTCGATCCAGACGATCCCAAGGTCGACACCAAAGTCTCYAAGATCTTGGAAGACAAGGTACGAATTTTRATCCACGATGCAAGAGAAAAACGAAGGGAGCTCTTGGAAGACGCCAAGAACGGGGGCAACGGCTTGGCGAGGTACTGTGCAGCCGCTGGTGGCAACCCCGATGRCATGCCACTGAAACACACCATGAACAAGGAGGACGAAGTCCTGGTTCGCCTGAAGGTCGATCACACGGGTTTTGCAGCGGTGAACAACCAGCGGTTCGGGGCAAGATTTGTTGGGGACGTTGCCAATCCGGTGAGWACAGTATTAGTTGGTGTGTTTTGAGTTCTTTCTCGTGGAAATTATCCGAACCGAAAGTCCCGTTCTTTGCAAAAAATCGAAATCTCTCACACTCCACGTTTCCTGCCCCGAATGCTGCAGACTGACATTTTGTTGTTCACCCGTAAAAAGGCAGAAGGCGGTRGATCGCGCTCGAGCAAGTCGATGAAGGGCATTGCCCCAATCGAGCCTAGCGAGATCGAAGAAATGAACATCGAGGATTTGATTGTCGAGCAGTTCGAATCCAGCAACACCAAACTCGAACTCTTTGACGACAAGAAGATTTCTGCCGCCCTAGATTCTTACGTTGGAAAACAAGAGGCGCAGGCCATCAATGAAACGCTCGAGAAGCTCCTGGGCAAACAACAGAATCGATTGATTAAAAACGGGGCATTGTCGGTCGCGGAGGGAATAGAAATGGATGGTGATGRAGAAGTTGGTAGAAGGAACAACGGCAAGAGACGCAACAAACGTGGAMGAGACGACGAAGAGGACGAGRACGATGCCATGCAGGATTCACCACCCACCAGAAGTCGATCCAACAAATCGTCCCAGAGATCCATAAGGTCGAGATCGACGAGAAAACGGGCGGATTCTTACGATAGCTTGGACGATGGGGATTCCATGCAGGAGTCACCGCCCACCAGGTCGCGATCCAACAAATCGTCCCAACGATCCACCAAGTCTAGATCGACAGGCTATGACGACGACGACAGCTACGAAGCAGCGCCTTCCCAAGTCAGGTCCAAATCGTCCAGAACCACTTCGTCTCGATCAACCGGTCGCAAGGCTGCTGYGCGCTATGAAGAAAGCGAAGACGAGTACGACGACGACGTCCGGGTGGTCGACCCACCACCGCGCAGCCGCAACGCCAAGCCCGCCAGACAACGCGCAACGAGGAAAACYATAGACTACTCGGTCGACGACAGCGAAGACGACAAGGTCGACGATTCCCTATCGATCGACGATCCCACTCCGCCGAGAAAAAAACCCACGGGACGGGGCAGAGCTKCCGCGAAACCGACGAGAAAGACCGCCACTAGTAGGAGAGACAGACGCAGCACCGACACGGCTAGCAGTGGGTTTTCCCAGTCTCAGCTGTCCTTTCAGCCCATCAAGCGCAAGACAGSCACAACACGAGCCAAGAGACCCAGGCAMAGCTACGACAGCGACGATGACGACGACATGGGTCCAGCGGGACGTAGCTATGATGACGATGACTGGGGGACCGCGAAATCCGGTCGGTGAACCGAATCATGGTGCATGTAGCGATTCCACGACCGGTTTCAAGGATGCTCAAAACGTCGTCTTSGAAACGAGCAACATCACTTGCTATGTTGCCAGCAGTATAATTGCACGAAACAAAGAGATCACGACACCATATTGTTGAGTGTTCATCGAAAAGAAAACCTTCAATTTACAATTCAAATAGAGCAAAAAGCTATTGAAAATAGGAATTATAATAGAACTCGGATAAACTACTACAGTCGAATTCTACGAAAAGCAATATAAGGTTAATGTAGGGTTATATTTTTTTGACCTCGACTGGCTTGCGCGATTTCCGTTGGACGAGTGTTGGTGCAAACGTCTGGTACTTTTGCTAGTAAGGACAAGTTGGCCCTCATTATTCTGAGATTTCATTGTCAGATTTGTTGACGTAGTGGTACTGCTGTACCGTACTACACCACAGTACACCGTACGATACCAAGTTCAGTTTCCCATCTCTCAATWGCAATAGCAGGCAGCGGCAAGGAATCTGTTGCCGCAAGAAGAGGAAGACGAAGAAGAGAACCTTAATCCAACAACGGCTACGAGTGCGTAAGAAGTACTACCCACTGTGACCAGCAMCTTTATGCCCCCCCGCGAGCCTACGGCACCCCATGGCATCCAACCAGTGTGACTGACCGATTCCCCGGAGCGAATTCAAACAAAATGGAGGAGTCCCCCCTCGACAAGCCGGCCGTCGAACCCTCGATGTCTGGATCGACTGCGTCTGCCTCGGAATCCGTGCTGTCCTCGAGTCCCTCGAGCAGCGGCAACTACTACCAGCGTAGGTTCGACGGCAGCAAACGGCGGACCGAATTGCTAGAGAAGCTCGCCCGAACGAACAGTCCCACCAAGAAAACTACGACGGCGCAGCACGCCTTTGCCGAGATGAGCAACGACAACAACGGAACCGAATCCGACAACCCCCGAGCAGAAACCGGTTGTTTCCAAAACAAGCCCCTGTCCCCCCCGAAACTGAAGACAGGCCAGGCCTTTGCGCATGAAGCCAAAGAGACGACAACTGCCGATGCGTCGTTTTCYACCCCGGATCGATCCGGATCGATACAGCGGAAACCACTCCAYTTGCAAGCGGAGGAAAACGAGGAAGAGCAGCCGGTGCGTTATTATCGCATCGTCTATAGGGGCGTGGTCGCTCTTTTGTCCGACGAACCGAATGGCGGTGAAACGAATCACAACAATCATTGTCCCAACAGAAAGACCGGTGCTTATCTTGGGTACGGGGAAATCATAGCAAGCGGCAGCGAAAAACTCGTCGAAGATACCACGGCACGACCGCAGAGAAGGTTAAACACTTCTCCTCGATTGGGATCCGCTGTCGACTCGCCAATCTTGACGAGGATATGGGACAGCAAAGAGCACGAGGACAAACAGCAACATAATCAACAACAACAGCTGCAATATCATTCACCCCCGCGATCATTGGTATCTGGAGCTTGTTCTACAGTTTCCTCTTTTACCAATCACACAGCAAATTCTACATCTGCATCAAATTCTATTCCAACGAGAAAAAAAATACGGGTGGATCGGGTGTTGACGGGMGGATATGCCTTTGACGCGAACGAGCAAGAAAATTCCTCTACCGAGTCAATAGATTCCCATTCTTCTCTGTCGAAGAAGGTCGTYGCCAGTGATATGACACCCAAGCGTGGCAATACACAAYYTTCCACCGGGACCATTTTTCCCACACTGAATCYATCTCTGCTTCCTATATCGGATAYCGGACCGACATCGCCGTCACGCGACAAGGAATGCGGCAACGACGACAAACACAGGACTTCAAAATCAAACCACGGATACATTTTCTCCGAMCAGAGCAGCGTCCCAATCGCATTAGCCATACCGTTGGACACTGTGCCACGGTGYGAGAGTGGTAGATTTTTGTACCGAGTGATATCTTCGACCCCACTGACGATTTTGACGGGACCGTCGCTTGACGCACCGAAGACGAAAGCGATTTTGATCCCGGGGACAATCCACGAAGTATGCCTCCGAGTCATCGCATCCCAGGAGGGCCACCAAYCACAGGGGGGCGATTCTACGAGTTTGACGTTTTTGAGACTGACAMGGCGACGAGGWTGGGTTGTRGACGGGAAGAGGATACCTCGAAAACGTGGCACCGGCGATGGCAACGACGCGAATTCCTCCTGGGTTTCGTTCATGAAAGAAATATCCAATGAAGAAGCGGACGAATGCGGTGTATCAGTTGCGTCTCGCACCACTTCCAGGAGTGCCACGTCCATGTTGGCAACGCCGATTTCAGCTGCCAGTAGGCGGCACAGRCCYCCCAGGCGAAAAGGTGGCGGCAGGAGGGAAGGCAACGATTCAACTTCCTTGCCTCGTCATGTGTTGGGTCCGTCGTTGCAAAACGGTAATGATACATCGGGAATTACCGACAAGTCCACCAATACCAGCACAAACAATTCGCAAGCAAACCTAGATCCTCGATCAATAGTTTCGCCATCGTCGAACATTTCACTCTTGTCGGACGATACGTGTTCTATTGACCCCGTGAACAGATCCCATGGAGGAGCTCTGAGCCCGGATCGCTCTATCGCTCGCAGCACGGGATCTGTTTCTACGAATCCTTCTTTTTTTCTGATGAGAGTGAACGCACCTCGAGGCCTCAAAATCTTGGATGCCCCCCACTTTCAAGTCAACAACCTKATTCACGGAATCCACACAACATCTTCGGGGAAGTCCCACGATCCATTTTCGACTTCTATGGCATCCACGAAAGACTCTTACGGAAAAAGTGCTAGTAGCAGCAACCAGTCCATTTTTCAAACCATGGCTGGACATCATACCACGACAATGACAAGCAAAACCAGCAATCCAGCCGTCTTCGATTCTATTACAAAAGCACGGAGACTTCCCCGAGGCTCTGTTTTCGAAGCAACGAAACGGTTGGAGGCGTCGAATGCCTTCAACCAGGGCGCCGGGCTAATCAAATTGTCCGACARTAGCGGCTGGGCAATCGTTCCTCGGCAAAGCGAACTGAACGAGCAATACAGAAGTTACTCYGGTGCACTTGTCYACACTCGGGAGGGAGAGGGATCCCGTGCCTTTGAAGAAGTCGGGAATTCAATGGGCAACAGAAGCCAGGACACAATATTTCTTCGGGTGTTATCAAGGGGTGGCGTTACTGTCTCTTTGCCTCCTCTTCCGAATAGCGGTTCCGATATTGACACATCCCCCACGTCGTCTGCCACCGGATCCTCGATTGTCAGCGCGGCTGGACACCCAGCTCTCAACGTGGGTGTGAGCTCGGACTCCGACGTGGCGTCTTCTGTTGGTAGCTCCTTTCTAGATTCGATGTTTCGAACACCACGAAAAAAAGAGAGGCAACCTGAATCGATCAACGAAAACAAGACGGAACACCAACATCTTCACCACCGACCACAAATTGGTGAGCGTCAAGTAATCTCTACCGTCATCCCGTGCGGTACATGTGTGGAAGTGGATCGGTGGGTAGATCCCACCGACATGGAACAATACGTCTTCAARAACGAATACGCCCGTATTCGGGGGGGTCAAGGATGGATACCTCGCTTCGTCAATGGAAAACCGGTGGTCGAAACGATATCATCCCCTGAATTTCGATTCGGATCKATTTGGTTCCGAGTCTGTGACCAACAAGGTATAAAGGTTCGTTTGGGACCATCAAAGAGAGCCTCGTCAATCAAGTCCGATGATGGCGTGTACTTTCGATTCGAATGTGGCGAGTTTCTTCGGGCATCCGAGGTCGTAACGTTCTTCAAACACAACGCAGAGCACGAATGCTTCGCCAAATTGTACAGAAAYCGTCATGTTCGGCTTCACAGCGGTGAATTACGACCCCTATCCAGTCTTACTGCGCAAGCGGAATGGGTTCAAGTATTCGGTGAGACGGGTCGATTCTTGGAAGAGTGCAAAACAGAACCCCGCATCGAGCGACATCGACAAGGTTGGAGATACAATGTTGTGCTGGATGCAAGAGTTGCGGTTCGAAAAGGGCCGTCATTCGAAGCCGAAACGGAGAACTCGGTTCTTCTCGGAGGCGAAAGTGTACTAGTAAATGAAAGAGTGACGGGCCCCAACGATCCGATAACCTGGCTAAGACTCAAAGACGGTCACGGCTGGGTGCACAATGTTGGGCAGAACGGAGAATCACTGATGATTGCCCATTCACTCCGACACCGGAAACCAACTGTCGGCCGGCCCGTCAAACCGGGTCGTACGGAGCAAGAAGACATTGCCTACAATACCATCATTGCGAGACTCTTTCACAATGACATCCCCGGAGAAAGTCCACCTCGTAATGCGAARCGCAGATGAAAACATTTTTTCAACTCGCTGGTTGAAATGCAATACAATTTAAAATAATAGACRTGCATTTGAAAAAGGTCTGYAACRTTCTTTTGTCACGTCTTCAGGTCATGAACAATAGCAATGTGGAACAAAAAATATTTTTCGGCACGTAATACCATTTGTGAGAAAGTTCCCGTTTGAAAGCGATCTAGCTCAAAAATAAAATAATGTTTTATTCAAGTTAATGCTTTTTGTATTTTGTTGCAAAGGATCATTCAAGATTGATTTTTTCCAAAACACAGTACAATTATCCCARCGGGTTGTTCGATGGATTTGGGATATTGCCTGAGTCTTCCCTGTCATATCGTGAAGTTGCAATGTGGATGTTGTGTCGTTGCATTTTGTTCTTCGGAGTGAAAATGATTATTGTGTGTTTGCCAGTGYTGTGTGTGTGTAGGTGTGTGTTTGACATTTCATAATGGGAGGCTGGCGCCGTCGCACTGTATTATGTAAGCTGATTAGAGCTTTTCGGGATTTGTCCATTTCTTGGGAGGAAGGACATCGTATGCGGTTCGGGCACCCTTTCCGATGTCRCCAGAGAATCCCTGGGGAGAAAACGCGGGCTTGCCGGTATCGAATACTCGAAGCAAGTCTCTGACGAAAGCACGGACCTCGTCGGTTTGGCGTTCTTCCTTCTCGTTGATGTGTTGCAAATGACTAATCGTGTTCATAATTTTTTCGAGGCGACCTTCCAACTCCTTTTCGGTGTCCTTCAAGACAGTCAAAAGCTCGTCGACTTCGTCGACAGCGCATTCGGATTCAATGCATTCGTTAGACTTGTTCAGRATTGCGAGRGTTTCTTCTTCCGTCAAGAACGCCTGGTGTGCTGTGGTTGAAACCATGTTTGCCTGTTTTTGTTTCGATGCACATCATGAAAAAAGTTGTATTAGATTCGATGCTACATGTTGGTCAAGTATACAAGAACGATGCAATTTGTGTCTTTGACTCATACTATAGGGCTACTTACGGGGCGAACCATGGTGGGTTTAATGGTGCTAAATGCAGCAACAGAGGTGAAGAGAAGAGCGATGGTAGTTCGGAACAACATGATTGAATGGTAGATTTCGAATTCGATTTGAAATTGGTATATTTTCGTTTTATGATCTCTTTTCGATGCGAGAATCTTTTCTGTCGTTTCCCGTCGAACCACTGCTTTCTCRCAAATGATCGAAAATTGTCCACGATCAGAGGGAAATCGGATGTTTGGAGTGATGTCTGTGTTCTTCGTTCCTTCCTCCATTTCCTTCTTTGTCTTCTCATCACATCCTCTGCGCTTTCTTGCATCTGGATGAGAAGGCATACAACATGAAAATCTGTCCTAGTGATGGTACCAAGCATCTTGCGTACATCCTTTGAAGTATCTTCCAAAAATGATACTATTGGTTACAAGTTTTGCGTGTGACTCAATAGTTTTTTACTAGCCAATCAAATATTTCAGTCCTGTTTTCAGATGATGTTGGAGAACAGATTGGAGAACAGATGGCCGTCACCAAACGTACGTATGTATCACTTTTCAAAAATACGAATGAATCAATACAACTATGTTTACGATCTAACTATTCACGTCGAGATTCGCGCAGAATGAATCGARTCGTACCATAGGTACCGTGTTCCTTTTTTCTTAGCTTTTCCGATTGAATGCGGAATCTGAACCYGAAAGGAATGAGCAAYGAACTATCCAATATTAAAACRCAACGTAGCAATTTCCTCCTYCGATTGACGGTCGTGCCGGTAAATACGAATCGAGTACAAGCCAGCCTCTTCCGCGTAACATAGAAGAAATGATCGAACCATCGGCGTCATCGTGCATGATTTCAAACCATCGTTTGAATTTTGATTTCCTCATTAAGATTTACAAATGCGTCATTTCGAAATGGGTGAAAAAGATTATTTTTAGATTCTCATTGTGCAAGAWYASCMCACAATTTTTATAGCGATGTTCACAACTCTAGCAATACTACTAGCTTAGACTACATTTCCTGATATCACCCATAAAATAATGACGYGMTTCATGTTTTCAGTATGGTGTAAAATTAATGATTGACATAGCGTATGCCATGTTTTGATTTTAAAGCGGTTCGACTTGTTTCTCAACAGTGACGAAGCTTCCGTCTCCTGTTCGTAAATTTTCTGATTTGATCGATGCTTTATGGAAGAGTTAGAGGTTATGGATGGATGTGTTGCTGCAGAGAGCAAGAATTTGAGTGTTTCAAGATGAAAGTCATTTGGACTTTTTGGACTTTGTCGTRAAAAAGAGCGAATTACTATGTTGTGTTCGGTTTTTCGTTCCTCAAGGACTCTTCTTGTATGGCTTTGGTGGAAGGGCATCGTAGGCAGTCGTTGGACCACTTCCTACCTCYCCAGTCCATCCCATTGGCTTCGAAAGGGCTGGATAATCATTGCCACTGGCCTTGTCACCGAGTTGGAAGATGCGATAGATAGCACGAACYGTCTCTCGGATCTCGTCAACAGAGCGGTCGTCAGACCCATTCACGGTTTCCAGGGATTTAATCATGTCCTTGATTTCTTTCAATCTGTCGGACGCCTCYTTTTGTTGATCCTTGAGCAAGCTTACCAATCCGTCGATCTCGTCGAGGGTGCATTCTCCTTCGGCACAGTCCTTGGCGGTCGCCAGAACGGTCTCGGTATCGTCGTGGGACATCAAGTTCAGCATGGTCTTTGGAACCTATATCGAATTACGCGTGAATTATTGATATCGGAGATAAACGAAGAAAAATGAAAGTGCAACATGAGGCGAAACATTTGGCGTCAACAAATTTTAGGCATAGATTCTTGCAGGTATTCCCAACACGTCATACCGATGACACTTACAGCACGTTGAACGGGAACTGTGGAAAAAGCCTGTGCAGAGGCGAGGATGAAAAAGATAGAAGAGATCTTCATTTTATTTTTTAAATAATTACGGAGAGCCGTCGAATTGGAAAAATGCGATTGATATTCATCAAATGAAAGTTTATGTGCTGTATTCGTAATGAGWAATTTTTAAGTTTGAGCGAGAAATGAAAGATTTTTTCGTAAGGCTTCTCATGACTTTTTGATGGATACCAGCTTCTTTTTGTTCTTCCGGACGTGTCTTGACGTCTGCGAGGAGTGAAACCATCTGCTGTTTCGAKCCGCAAAGTGTGAACAAATTTCGGGGTACGAAGTATGTACGTACCGTAGTACAGTACAAAATTTCTACAATTCCAACTAGTAAACGTACACAGAGTACGTACTCGGGTGCCGTACGAGGTACGAACCCAAATGATCTGATCGAATCTRCATYAGGTTATGAGTACATTAAAARCCCCAGTTTTTAGCCATGAGCAGCTATCTTTGCTTGCTTGTTAAGGCTAGCAAAGCACCAATCAGAGTTCAAGAATCCATAAGTCTGAAAGGGTTTTCTTTCTTCTTGCCATTCATGTGTTTTTTTTTTGCCAGAGAACCTTTTCCACCAGCTAGTTGATTTCTAAACTCATTAACACAACAAGAACCTCATCATAGGGACCTGTCACCACACCCATCAGCAGACTGAGCATTAAACAACACTTTCCTGTCCACGCACCCACCATAATAACTTCATTATAACAAGGATGGGGGGATCCAGAAGTCTTGGATCAATTGACCAAGTGGTTTAGAAGCAACAGTAGATCTAAGCACCAACAGCAAAAGTAAATGCAACCTGTAGTGTGACAATATCGGTATCAATACGACAAGGTGAAGAGAAATGCTTCAAACTGGAAGATACTAYTTGTACTATAGTTCAGAATCACCTACTTSGACGGCATCACCTTCGTATTCAAATCAAAAATGCTGTGCTCGGCATAATGGTAGTTCATGTGCTTTCTTTGCGCCACAAGAATACCATAATATGCTTGAGACTCAATAACGTTAAAAATACTATGTCAACTGAAACACTGGCAGACCATCTGGAATTGCATGCAAAACCATAGATTTTAACAAAGAAGCACTTCAAATTATTAAATTTTTCAAATTTTCTAGCGGGTAAATTTGATCTTTGTTGTCATCGCGATAAAAATTGGCGTGAGAAAAACAAACCCGAAGAAGGATAATAGTTGTATTTGTCCTTCTTTTTCTTCCTCCGGTTTTGACGAGRGCGTCGAACTTCGTCACGAACAAGGAGAGGGCGGGTATCCGTATTTTCCCCTGAYCTGTGTTCACTTTCCTCTGGTTTTTCTTTTACGTTGCTTATTGGATCAAATGCATTCGCATCTTCATTATCATTGCTTGGAGGACTTTCCTCTGCTGTCATCATTTTCCGAGCATCAACTGCTTCTTCGTGTTTTCTCTCCTTCGATACATCTTCTACGAGACTTGTACGATCAGTAGCACTCGATTCATCGTCAATCCTCCTATCCTTATCCCTCAATTCTTCGTTTTCACTCCCTACGCTCGATTCTTTACCAGAGCTAWTACGTGACGTTCCCTTGTGATCACCGAMTTGGTCAATCATATTAAGTTCTTCRTAGTCATCCCCCTGGGATGTTTCCTTTGCATTGCCAACGCATCCACTCTCCTTTATTTCTTCCTCGCTGCTCTTTTTTGGGTCAACTGCATTAAGTTCCTCATTTGCACTCATTTGTATCTTTCCTTCGTTGACTTCAATACGGCTCGACTGTGGCATTTCCTCTGTCGAGTTTCTATGAGCGATATCCTTTCGTTCTACGTTACAGCTTCTTTCTTCGGCCAAATTTGATTTCTTTGGTGTTTTAACGATTGCAGACTCGACCATTTTGTGCATATTTTCAAAACGTAAGTAGGGCTCATCATGTTCCTGTTTTTTCACTTCCGAAGAACATGCTTCCAGCTGGTCCATTGATTGTTTGGAATTGAGACAAGAATCCTCAGCTGCAGGTTTCAGCATGCCYAATTGGATATTTTGGGATTTCTTCTCTTGACAAGTCGTATCCTTTGAAGCGCAATCGCTTMTTTGAACGCAAATATCCGTATCTACCCGTAAAGGGCTGGGACGAGCACCAAGCTTTTTTYCTACTTCGACTATCCTTCTTGTACTTGTCACGCCATATTGTACCCTTGAGCATTGTAGCAATTCTCTCTTAWTATTATCTATCTGACCATTCTCAACTTTTGAGCAAATTAAGTCGTTGGCCATCATASTCGCCCCCAATTGCATAAAAGAGTCTCCAGGGATAATGCTGTCGTCGTCCGTTTCAACTTGCGTAAGGCTATTGCTATCGTTGTCGCCTCTGGAATAATTGCTACTAAGGGATTCCATTACTAGACTCTCCCCCAACTTCGAAAATGCTTCGAAGGGAATGAACTCTTCTGTCCCATCGCTTGGTGGGTTGGCATCTAGCGACAATTTTTCCATAAGAGGCACGCGAGAATCTCGTTTTTCTTCTGTATGAACGTCAGCACCCATTTCACTGCTAATAATTAAAATCGAATGATCACTTTCGTTTTCAATCTTTTCAAGTTCATCACTTTCTTCATTTTGGTTGAGATAATCGCCATGACTATTTTGGTTTCCATTCACCCTATTGCTTTCCGCTTCTTCGGTTGAGTGGAGAATTGAATCATCTTTCTCGTTGCTTCGTTCGTTGTCACCGAATCGCATTCCTTGATCCGTTATGCCGACCAAAGGATCGGTTGTTTGAAAGGTTTTGTAGCCAAACTCATCAGTTTCTTCTGGTAGCGGAATTCTAGAAGCTTCCTTCGCAATAATTCCAAGTACTTCAAATGCAGATTCAAAACAGATAGGCTTCTGATCAATATTGGCAGGAACGTCATGGGATCGAGTTCGATGCGAGTCTTTTGATATGGTATCTTTCATCACAATATCACTTTTATTCTTCGTTGGTGTTAACGTGGGGTAGATGGCATAGGAGTGGAGTGAAGACTTTGCGTCTGGTTGCCACTCTSGTCCTAGTTTTGAGGGGGATAGTGACATTCCATTGGTCACATTGTGTCTAGCGGAGAATTTGTAGCTCCTTGATCCTAAACTACGCCGAGCTGCTTCTGCTTTTCGTAGAACGAGCTCGTCGTCGGCCCGATATTGGTGCAAAAGTTCGATAGCGTCGACTTGTTYTTGTCGACGCGCTGCAAATAGTTCGCGTTGTTTCTCAAGAAAATTACAAGCTTCTGTCGGTGCAGATGCATCTCTCAATCTGGAAGCTAGCAAGCGATATCGGTGTACGAAGTAGAAAAAAGCAGTGTGGAGAAATAGGTGAGGGCTTGAATGTTCGGATCAAAGTAGCGATGCTTTGATCGCACCAACTCACCATACTATTGCCACGAATGGGATTGAAGTTTCYCGAACCATTACGCACCTTTAGCCTTCGTTAGCCCCTTTTCTTGCAATTTTTCTAGTTCTCTTCTTCTATCCTCGGCCTTCGACCGGTAATCTGCATGAGGAACCACTGGCGCATATTCCATTTTATCTTTCAATATCAATGTGTAGCGATAACCCCTCTAATTTGSCTGCTGAGGTTTTTTCATTCTGGTCGTTTTTTCAACCAATAACCTCCCTTGCGCTGGACGTTGTTTTCTCGAAACTGATGTTCTGGTTCGGTTTGAAGAGGAAACAGCACGAATGCATACAMAGAACGTGTGACACAACGACATTTCAAACGTACTGGTAAAGAAAGTRGGATTTCCTACTACAAACTCGTACCGTAAAGTACGTACCCCACCGTTCGAACTTTCTTCCCCCGTTTTGCACGTTTAAGCACATTCAAGTACGACTGAAAAAGAACGAAATGTTCGGTGGACAATTTTTAATTTTTCAAATCAGAACWCTAGACCACACCGATTAGCTATCTCAGTGAGGYACTTACGATACAGTATGTGAAGCATGTACTTCACGCTTACGCTGTATGATACAKTACAATATCCATATTGAAATACCGTACTGTACGGTACTTGTTCGTACATACGTACTACTTACAGTAAAACAACGKACTCCACACTCAACAGCTTGAAATCAGAAATCGTGACTACRTCCACARTACCGTAC